ATTGGACTGGACCGCGGCCAGGAAGAAAATTAAGGAAAGCAGCACAAGAAAAGCTCAGAAAGATGATCAAACCAAATAGGGAAATCCGGGGGTCTCCGGGCAGCAGAGGATGGCCGGGATGAGATCCCCCGCCGCGGGAGACGGGGGCAGAGGGCGAGAGTTGGCGGCTGCGGATGGGTTATTTGGTGATTGCGGGTGGGACTTTAACGCGTGGTTGTTTGGAGAAGAGACGAAGTTAATGCGGCATCAACATTTTCCCGGTCTCTAGGCTTCAGGGCGAAGGGATTGGGACTTGGGGAGAAGCGCTCGCCGACGCGGGATGTGACGGAGCGCTGCGGATTCTCCACGTCAGAGACACTAGGCTGACTTTGTTGATCAAATTATCTCCTACCACTATAAAAGGAAGAAAGGGGCAGATCCAAACAATCACATCCATTCATCATCAAAATCTAATGGCTCTTAATCACTCTGTGTTTAACGCTATCAACCACGCAACAAGCCATGCTTGATCAATCGCTAATCTGCCCGTAGTAAAAAGGAAACAAAACCGCCCGCCCGCACGACCTTCTCCTTCTCCCGCACGACCTCCTCATCCTCCCGCGCCGTTCGCAGCGGAGGATTCTCTGACTTGGAAGAGCCACGTCACAGACACTAGGCTGACTTTGTTGATCAGATTATATTATTACAAAGATACAAAGCATCTCAAATATGATCAAAATTACATAAAGATCTCCAACGATCACTGCCATACCAAAGCGACAACTGGAAAGCCTTCGTGCGGGTGCCTCAAGGACCAACACCTCGAAGCGGCGATCGTCGTCGTCGGACCTTTGAATCACTCTAAAGAATCTGACACATGAGAGATCCTAACCTCGCCGCCTTAAGGAACCGGTAGGAACTTACGTTGTAGCTTCGTCAATTTTGTCTTGTCTCACACTCTTCAACATATCGCAAAATTGTTCGTGCCCGATTCACTGATGCGAGCAAATCCTTCGTGTTGCGCTAAATGGATCCAGCGACAAGCCCGAGCCGTGATGAATTCAGACTCGCATTCATCATCATCTTCCTTCGTGCGGTCTTTTCCTCTTTCACATCTTTCACACCTAGACAGAGGGAGTAGGTAAAGCCATCCTTAAGGATTCTAGAGGGTGCTTGGATTTAAGGGACCTATTTTACTCTGACTAAAAATAGTCTCTTTAAGAGGCTAAAGTTTCAAGCACCCCTGACTAAAGAGGGGCTAAAACTAGTCTTGAGACTAAATTTTTTTAGTCAGGGGTACCCCTACTAAAATGTGGATTAGTCCTCACTCTCCTCATTTAACTCATCTCCTTTAACACAGGCGAGTTCTGAATTGGAGGGTTGAAGGATAATAAATGCTCATTAACTTGATTTTAGTCTCTTTAGTATTTAGATCCAAGCATGGATGGGGCTAGCAAGTTTTAGTCCCACTAGTTTTACTCATGAGACTAAAATATATCCAAGCACCCTCTCAGTCGTCCGGTGTGTCCGCGCGTGAGACGACCCTGCTCCATCCCATATGCTTTTTGGTTGCTTGCATTACCCCACATAGAGATAGTGAATCCAGACCCTCAAACGTGCTCGGGCGCTCCATATTCATCTCATAGTCGGGCGGGATATGAGAGGTGTTGGTCAGTCCGGGCATTTGAAGCCCCTTTGATGCGTCCATCTGGATCGGATTTTGATGATTGGTCAGTGACCGGGCAGGTTGAACGTTTGAGGCTGATTTAGGGTGTCTGACTGTAGATGCTCTAAGAGAAACCTATTTGCTTGCTAGGAAGGCCCGATTCGAATGTCCACGAATATTAAAGTTGCCCAGAGTCTGACTGACTAGGAACGCTTAAATAGGCCATTTCCATTGAGTTGGACTGAGCCAGGCGCAAAAGCGGGCCATGATGTTGACGACGATGCAGGTCCGGCTCGGAGGGATCCGGCTTGCCTGCTCCCTCTTCATGCTCCCATCCGTACTCCCACCTCATCCTACGGCTGTCTTTTTTCCTTTTTCCTTTCTAATGTAATCATCTCCTCCTGATTTTAAAGGAGTGAGGTCAGGTCTTATTTTGTTTTAATTAAATCAAGTCACGTATGTATGCAGAAGTATGGACGAGCGCACAAACGGGGAGCAGGCAAGTCTCGTCCGGCTCAGAGGGCTGGCGGCCAAGGACCTTCTTCAATAGCACCCGCTCACTGATCCGTTTGTTAACTGTCAATTGTCTCTACAATTTCTGCTCTTTACAGGAAGGGACGCCCAGCACGAGCGAGGCCAACAGCCAGCCCGAAACTGTTTTCTTCTTCACAGCCCGACATGTTTGGTTGGGACAGCCGATTAGACTTTCTTTCGTCCTTGTAAACATTGTAACGCCGTAATAAAGCTTCGGAGTTTGTCTAAAAAAAAAACTGTTCAAAGTGCACTTAACTAAACCCTACGCTCAGGCCCCCCATTTGCAAGTGTATTTATTTTCCCTGCATTCGGCTATTCATTCGTTTTGAAAACATGGTGTCGAACCAGTGCTCCAGGACATCTGGTGAAGTTCGAGCCAATGAATTCATGAAAACTGCAGCTAAAAACTGAATTTATGCTTCAGCGTGATCATACGAGCAGCCAAAGAATTTGTACATCAGCAACTTTGACTATTGTGCACTACAGGCTACAGCACTCTCTGGGTTTCACATCTCCATGGCGTCCCGAGCCATGTCCTGCAGGTCCTCCTCCGTCAACAGCGTCTTCTTCCCGCCGCTCCCAGCCTTGTCGTATGGCTGCGCCATCCTCCGGAGGAACTGCCACGGAACAAAACACAACTTTATTTATTTTCTGAACAAAACAGATGGCTACTTGAACAGAAGTGAGAAAATCCTCTAGAAAAACAAGACATTCAAACGAAATTCATGAAAGCAGACATGGAAAAGAATGACTATGCTGACAGGTGGCTACAATTATAACAAGTTGCATTGCAAGCAGTTGGAAGCATGGAAACTGTGCGTGTTTAGGCATTGCTGCTTGAGTGGAAGATGTCAGCATTGCCTCGTCCGCAACCAAGACGGCTTGCGCTTTTAAAAGCATCCACGTTGCAATGTTCCAAAGCAATTGCTAATCGAGTAGAGCAATGTAAGGGAACATACCTCACGGGCTGTATGGAGAGCCATATCGGTGCTCAGATTCAGGTGCGCGTCGTGCAAGTGTGACAGTATCCATCCCGGCAGTTTGGACCGTTTATCATGCCGACTGTATCTGCGAGTCACAAATGGCATGTCACTTAGCAAGCATTTGTAGTATGACTGCTATGGGATGAAATGATGAACTTAAAAGACCTCGGACCAGAAAATACATATAACAGATCTGCAAGATATATTGATGTTTGATGAGCACTATATGTTTGATATATGGTGTAACCAAGCCTAGAGCTCCTGAGCATCAAATGAAGCAATGACTATAACTAGTTCGGTTCTATCTGCCACAACCATTGACTAAAAAAGTACACTATTTAGTGGCAAAGCCCAATTTTAACTGCCAAGGGAATTTCATCAAATCAGATTAAAATAAGCATTTTCTTGCTAGTTGACCACAAGTCCATCACATGTTCAATGCAACAAACTTTGGGCTTGTTATTCAAGAAATATACAGATTCAAAATTGCTTGGCCAATCTAAAGGGCACAGGATTTGAGTTTCCTCTAAGCTCACTCTAACTCCCACGTCAAGGCAGTATCAAGTAGACAAGTACCTCTTGTCAGCAAATATCATCATTCCATAATCTGCCTTAGAACGAATCACACGTCCAACACACTGAGCAGCTTGCCTCTGACAATAAAAAGAATTCAAAATGTAGAGAAAACCATGTTAGGAGATCTTGACAGTATATATAAAACAGTAGGCTTTACTCCCTTACAATCAAAGAAGGATTAGTACCAATGCGTCAAATGTCAGAAAGTCACCCTCCTTTATCTGAAAAGTTTCTCTTAGGTACTCCAACCTAGCACGCAATATCCTGCTCGTAGACATGGGACATATATATAACACGGCTGTTAGAAGGTACTCCCTCCGTTCCAAAATAGATGACTCAACTTTGCACTAACTTTAATACAAAGTTGAGTCATCTATTTTGGAATGGAGGGAGTAACCCTTACAAGCAAGAAACATTGGGACATAAATATATCATTCAATCGACACAGCATTATTATTCTGTGCATGCATACGATGAACCAAAAGTACTGTTATCTTATAGACCAAGACCGAGGGGTGCACAAAATTAAATCCAAATGTATAAAAGCAAAGTTGGTCCTCACTTGCTGAGTGTGTACTGGAAGGGAACACCAAACATGATCACAAGTCTGCCATAGTGTCGATCAAAATCAATACCTTCAGCAACTTTGCCCCTGAAAAGATCATACCGTTAGCAAGAGTGACTCGTTGACTCGTTGTTATGATAATTTATTATTATGTGTGTGTATGTACATCGTATATCTCACAGTGTTAACTGAGTAATGCTTAATTGCTTATTATAACCTCCTGATCACAAGAAAATGAGCTAATAATGAAATCATTCTTTTATGACAATTCAAGTAAGCCTCTTTGATTTACATGATTCCTAAAACACAGGTAAAGGAAAAACGCAGGATTACAATGGCATGCCACTTGAATCCTTTAAGGGTTTGAACCAAAATTTGTTTGGTTGCACCGCAGGAAAAACAAATGATTCTTTAGGAAATTTCCTACAAAATGTAATGCAGTGGAGTCCTTGGGAAAAGTCTGCATTGAGATACTCCCTCCGTTCCGAATTACTTGTCGCGGGTATGGATGTATCTAGATGTATTTTAGTTCTAGATACATCCATTTCTGCGACGAGTAATTTGGAACAGAGGGAGTACAATCCTAAGAAACGAACAAACATCATAGAAAAATTCCAATCCACCAAAATTCCTATAAAACCCTTTGAAGCAATGAGGCCCAATGAAAACAATTTTGCATGCAAACTTACAGTGCTACAAGAATCCTTCGTATTTACACATGCACAGACATGTTGGTTGCTGTTTGATTGACTGAATGTGATAGTTTGCTTGATCTGGGATTCAGCAGTTGACTTGGTAACAAACTGGAAGTGTTGACATGCATCTTGATGAGTTACCACCCCACTAACTAGGTCATTCAATTGTTTTGGTCGATTCATGAATGCATCTTACTCTCTTTCTAATATTCCCTAGGCAGTTTTTAACAAGTTGGACATAGAAAACACTACTGATTAAAATATCACAATAAATCACCACCACTGTAGTGATAACTACTTTGATCGGGGTCAAAAGTCAAAAATAAGTTATATGCTGCAAAAGTTTCAAGCATTCCTATCATCGGTTCAGCTGCAGACTTATAGTGAATTTTGAAGGGTGGTCTCAGACTTGCAGTTAAAAGAACAAACCTGGCAACTGAGAAGAAGATAGCTCCTCTTCCACAATCGCATGCTTTTCTGTAATTGTCAAGGGCCAATGTTGTTTCAACAACATCTGGTGTTTCAATGAATACTAACTTGTGCTGCATGATGTCCTGCACAATAACATCATAAGATGGGCATTCTTTGGGGACTAATACATTTATATGTATCTTCGCAACATGAGGAAACTACAGAATCATACAAGAGGAAGAAAAAATGGATGCCATCAAAAATCACAGCGTGTAGAAACTTAACGGAGCAAGATTTTAATAAAGTTTCATCTCTTCTATTAGAAGTTTAGAAGACACGTGAGTACGTGACCACATTGCATACATGACAAACACGATTCTTATTCTTTACTGAGACATTACACATTATTTGTATAGTGGCTACTAACTATCCAACTTCATATGCATGTTACTGATAGTAAGAACACAGATGGTCTCTACACGAGTAGTTGATACCCTTTAATGTCAACACAGCTCAGCGGACCATCCACTGCTTAACGATATACAGGTACCTGAATAACTTTGCACGTCATTACGAAAACATGACACTAGAACGCTTAAACAGTAAACACCATTTAATTAATAGTGTTCCAGAAGATCTAGTCTACTTGTCCAATTGAGATGGTCAATTTACTAAGTCACATTACAATCTAAAGTCCAAATTCTAGACATCTCCACATCAGAATAATGTGCTGGTGAGGGAAATAACCTGTAAAATACCCATTTCATTCCAGCTGTTGACAATGCCATCCATATAGCTGTAACTGACAAAGAAACAGACAATGCCATCAGGAACAGAAGAAGCCATTTCTAGCAAGAGGCGGCCATAATTCCTCACAACACCAGGATCACTGCGCATGTCGAACTTTGTACTCACAGGTAGCTGATCACTGAAAATGATCGAATGGTTAATGTTACACAACTGGATTCATATCATAACATAAAAGGTAAAACAAGAAATTTGTGAGACAACTAAACCGGTTGCATATAGCACTACCATCGTGTTATTCTACTAGCATAAGGAGCATGCAATAAGTGTGTTTCCAAATATAGAAAATTGAAATATGAAAGCACAAATGGATCCAGATCATACCTTCCTCGTGTCAACACCATGGGACATATACAATCCCTTGTTAGAGACATTGTGAAGCTCCTGCTTATAACAGGATTAAAATTCAAAAGACGAGGGTACAGATCGATTGGGCTGAGAGTTCCCGAAGTGATGACGACAGTTTGGAATCGATCGAAAACAGGCTGTATTGCGAGTGAAGCGTCATGGCAACTCAGCTGCAACACACCCAACCACATTAGCACATTGACACTCAGCTTGTAACAATTGCACCACAATCTTATAGAGTAGGTTGGATACCTGAATCACGGGATCACGGACTTCAGGCATTCTATCATCATAGGGTTCTATTATTATAGAAAAACCACGCGAATAAGTTCCAATCAATGTGGCAAAGTCACAAATGGTCTGGATGTGCATGAATTCATCCGTGTCGGTTATCTCCAATGTAAGCAATAGAGAATGTAAGCGGTCATAACAAAACCTCAGCATTCTCTGGTCAATTCCAGCCTGGGAATGGATTGAAGCAACAAAGGAAACAGGCATTTCATTCTCAACATTCTCTGTTTCAAGCCGTCCATCTAAGAATCTCACAAGTCTCTTCAAGACAGCAAGAAAATGTTCAGCCTTTCTGATATTTCCAGGTACAGCCTCCTTCAAAATGTCATCAGGCAAGGATGGATTTGCAAGCCAAGCATCGGATACTTCATCACAAGAAACACATTATTATAAACTGTCCGGTAAGGCCACATAATCAACATTGCAAATCAGATAGTGAGGAATAAAGATACTCACTTGGCAGGTTTCCCCTCTGTGCCAATCCATCCACCAGTCTATTGTATTCAGCACGAAGCCTATTGGCATCGGTGGCCTTGAACCTTCCTACCAAATAAATCAGTTAGTGAGCAACCTTTACCTATCCATCTACAATTTTGACGATTTTAAAGGAAACACCCACAATCCTGAAAAGAGCAAGTATTTACTTCTTCAATGCTCAGTACCTATCGATCTCTTGCGAGATGCGCCGCAGGTTTCGCTCGGCACCTTCCAGTGTCTGCTTGCGGACGCTGACGCTCAGCGCCTCAATGCAGACGTTATCGATGTTGTGCGCCTCATCAAACACAACCACGCATTCTTTCTGCATCTCCCGGGACACAATGCTGGCCACCTTGGGGTCAAGCAGGTACTGGTAGCTGTAGACCACCACATTGGCGTATTTTACCATCTGCCTGGCGAGGAAGTAGGGGCATATCCGGCGCTCACGGCCAAGCGAACGGAGGTCGGCGAGAGTGTAGACCCCAGGGGGCATGAAAGAGGCGAGGTCGCCGGCGGCCGCGGCCCGGTCGAATGACTCGAAGTATTCGCAGAGAGGGGTGGACTCCGGGTCGGAGGCGGCCTTGTCGCGGACCCAGGACGCGGTGAGGCGGCGGCAGGCCGTGTCGACGGAATCGCGGGCGGCGGAGGCGGAGGCCTGGGGGTGGACGCAGAGGTTCTTGCGGGAGGAGAGACCGAGCGCGAGGAGGGAGCGCGAGGCGGCGGGCGGGAGGTGGGAGAAGAGGAGGCGGAGCTCGGCTAGGGTCTTCTCCATCTCGTGGACGGTGCGGGTGCAGTAGAGGAGCCGGAGCGGGCGGGAGGGGTTGGCGAGGGAGTAGGAGGTGATGAGGGAGATGAGCGCCGCCGTCTTGCCGGTGCCCGTCGGCATCTCCAGCAGCGCGTGGCCGCGCGCGTCCAGGGCTCGCTTGAGCTCGCCCATGTACGCGTGCTGCTCCGGGTAGATCGCCGCGTACGGGAAGTGCACCGTCAGGCCTTCAAGATCGAACTTCATCGTGGCCGCTAGGAGGGTGGAAGCCGCGGGATTGGGAGTCGCCGGAGCCGCCGCCGCCGCTGCCGCCGGGAGTAAAGCTCGGGAGGTGTTCGGTGGAATTCCGCAGGGCGGAGGAGGGGGCTGCCTCGACCTAAGTAGGCCTGCGGGCGCGTCACTCTGGACTGGCCCATATGATAGTACCTCCTCTTTGCAGTTTGCACTTCGTCTATTTCCCGACTCGAGAGCTCCAGGGCTATTTCTCGACGGTTGCGCGAACGGAAAACCCTATTTGCCGCTCTCTGCGGCAAACAGTCGGGCTTCCGCACAGGCGCTATCGACCGATCGCTCAGGGTGGGTCGGCCTGTTAACATAACGACCCGTTTTGGGAACCTTCAAGTTCCTTGCCGTTTTTTTTTCGGTTTTAAGAACCTTCTAGAAGCTTCCTGAACAGGTTTTTTCTTTAATTATTTCTTTTTAGTTTTTCTTTTTGATTAGTGTTTCCTTTTCTGCTTTCTCTCTATCTTTTTTCTGTTTCTTTTTTTCCGAATTTTTCTATTTTTTCTTCTTGCTCTTTTATTTTTTATTTTTTTCCATTTTCAACTAATATTTCAGAATTTTTCAAAAGCAAAATTTTCAGATTTTGTTCAACTTTTCAGAAAATGTTCCTGTTTTCAAATTTTTGTTCAGAAATTTCATACAACTTTAGAATTTCAATAATTGTTTGCTTATTTTTTTTAAGATCAAAATTTTAAAAAGTGTTTACCTTTCTAAATTTTGTTCACAAACAAAAAAATGTTCGGTTTTAGAAGTATGTTCCTGTTTTAAAAAAAATACTAAAAAATATTCATGTTTCCAAATTTGTTCACGAATTCGAAAAATATTCACGTTTTAGAATTTTGTTCATGAATCAGAAATTGCTCAGGAATTTAGAAAAATGTTCACATTTTTCAAAAATTGTTTCCAAAATTAGTAATATGTTCCCATTTTCAAAACTTGTTCGCAAATTCAGAAAACTTTCACATTTTTCAGTTTTGTTCACATATTCAAAAGAATCTAGGGATTTTAGATAATGATCCTGCTTCCAAATTTGTTCACAAAATTCGAAAAAAGTTCCGGTTTTCAAAATTTGTTTGCAGATTCAGAAAACTTTCACATTTTTCAATTTTGTTCACATATTCAAAAAATCTGGGAATTTTAGAAAATGTTCCTGTTTTCCAAATTTGTTCAAAAATTAAATAAATGTTCACAAAATTCAAAAAAAATCCTGTTTTCAAAAAAATCGCGAATTCAGAAAATTTTCAAAAATTCCAATTTTGTTCACATATTCAAAAAATATGGGAATTTTAGAAAATGTTCCTGTTTTCCAAATATGTTCCAAATTCAAAAAATGTTCCTGTTTTCAAAATTCCCTCGCAAATTCAGAAAACTTCCACATTTTTCAATTTTTTTCACATATTCAAAAATCTGGGAATTTTAGGAAATGATCTTGTTTTCCAAATTTGTTCACCAATTAAATAAATGTTCATGTTCACAAATTAAGATGTGTTTGGGAATTTCAGAAATGTTCCAATTTCCAAAAAACAGAAATTCAGAAAAGTTCCTGTTTGTTGAAAATGTTTTCATTTGTCAAAAATAATTTTACAAAGTTGAGAAGTGTTTGTGTTTCATAAAGCACTCGGTTTTTTTTAAAGCGTTCGAAATTCTTAAAATATGTCAGATCTGGGCGTATGTTGCTTCTTAAAGGTTTACGTTGCTTTATGTTCAATAACTTGTAGTAGCTCACTCGGTAGTACTTCATGGACTGTTGATTTCATTACTGTGTATTTTTGCAAACGGGCGCCTGCAGCGCCCCAAGCTAGGCCGACCCATATTATTTGCGCAAACTCGTGAAAAATGGTGCTGCGATAGATTTCGCATCCACAACCTCCGTCTTCAAAGGGAACGGCACTAGCCATTCGGCCATCCAGGACGTTGTGAAGAATATTCATTTTCCTCTTCTTATTCCTTTCTTCAATCGTGGTTTTTCTTCTGGACGTTTGCATTTGGTTTCCATTTTTTTCTTGCTTTCCCCTTTTTCTCTTCTTCAAATGCGTGGATTCTTACACAAATCCTGAACTTTTTCTTCAAAATTGATGAACCTTTTTTTTCTGAAATCCATGAACTTTCACTCAAATACATGAACATTTTTTCAAAATTGATGAACTTTTTTCAAATTTGTGAACTTTTTTTTATAAAATGGATGAACTACTTTGCAAATTCGATCAACCTTATTTCAAATACAATGAATTTTTTAAAATTCAGTGAACTTTTCTAAAAAATGATGAACCTTTTCAAATTCAATTAACTTTTTTTAAAATTTGGATGAACTTTTAAAAAAAATTGTGAATTTTTCGGAAAATCGAGGAACTTTTTTCAAATTTTGTGGAACTTTTCTTAAAAATTGATGAATTTTTTTCAAAACTGATGAACTTTTCAAGTAATTTTTAAGTTTAAGTTTACGTTTTAGTAAAAGGAAGAACTATAACTGTTTTCTGTTAATGGACACCAAGACGACCTTGGTACAGTGATGGTTGTGTTCGTGTGTAGACGTAATGGGCCAGATTCGAAACCAGCCCAATCAAGAAACGTGCAGGCGCCAAGTTATCTAACCGGCGCTGAAGGCGCCGACTATGGGGCTCCCATAATTTTTCAGCTACTGCATGATTCGCTTCCCATCGTTTCCTTCATGGGCCGGCCCAGGCAGAGACACGACTATGCGAAAATGCGACTGTTTGCCGCGAAATGCGGCGAACCTCCCTGCGCGAACAGTTCCATCTCGCCTCTGGCGCAGCGCTACTGGGCCGAAACCACACAGTAGCTACGCAGAATTTTTCGTTCTCTGTGGTTTTTTTCACTGTGTGCATGGTTTTCTTTCTCTTTTTCTTTGTTTTCTTCGCATTTCACCGGCTTTCTCCAGGTTTCTACGTCTTTTTTATTTTTTTCCAACAGATGTCGGCACTTTACATACGCAATGTACATTTTTTAATACATCGGGAACATTTTTTTGTACATGTTTAACATTTTTCTCAAACGAATCTTTGGATGCCTGTTTTTCACTCACATTGTATGTATCTTTGGTATACATCAAAACAATTTTTAATAAACGTTTATTAATTTTCAAATACATTTTCGATATTTTTTGAAACACATGTTTTTAACTATTTTTTTTTGCCTTTTCATAATATAGAAGATATTGACTATTTTTCACACTGGGTGAGGAATAGTTATTCTTCCCCCTCCCCCTCTATTTTAACATCAATGCACCGTAATTTTACATTTTATAAAATTTGTCTTACTTCATACGTAAAAAAATAAGATAAGAAATTATATAATCATTGTAAAAAATATTTTATGTTCCATAAACTTACAGACGTAAAATCATAGTGTAAAAATATATATAATTTAATTTTTCTGGTCTTATGACATATATTTTTGTTTTCTTACGGCAATTTTTACACAGTGAATCAGCATTAATATAACTATTTGTAATTCAAATGTAATTTATTTATAAAACGATTGTAAGATTACCTTGGATGAAGAATACCATATTGTGCACCCTAAGTGATGAAGAGTATTACTAATAAATGGTAAGCATATAATTGTAGAAAGTTTTTAAGGAAGAATGAACTAGTGAAATTGGTATTAACTTTAAGAAAAATAAAAAGAAATAAAACTAAAACAAAATTGAAATACTAAAGTGTCCTAAGAAAGAACAGATTGGTGTTTTGCTCTCACCCTTTAAGAAAAAAAAGAAAACAAAACCAAAATAATGAGGTTTTCTAATAAAGAATGAATTGGTGTAGTTGGTATTGTCCTTCAATGAGAAATAAATTTAAAAATATTAAAGAAATAATGAAAGTTTTGCATACAATATACACACATATTATCATTTTAAAAATATGCACAAATAAGCATATAATATTGTAATTTTCACACACAAAAATCCTAAAAAGGAATGAATTAGATGCATTGGTACTACCCACTAAATTGAAATCAAAATAAATGAAGTTTTATAATATAATAGTGCATTTTACTCACATATTGAAAATTATATGTATGTATACATTCGCTTGCCCAACATCTCAAAATTTCTACCAAAAGAACAACTAATAAAGAAATTTATTTTGAGGGGTTGATATGTCTCCAACGTATCTATAATTTTCGATTGTTCCATGCTATTATATTATCTGTTTTGGATATTTAATGGCTTTATTATACATTTTTATATTATTTTTTGGACTAACCTACTAACCCAAGGCCGAGTGCAAATTGCTGATTTTTTTTGGCTATTTCAGTGTTTCGCAGAAAAGCAATGTCAAACGGAATCCAAACGGAATAAAACCCTCGGGAGAGTTATTTTGGGACAAACGTGATCCAGGGGACTTGAAGTAGACGTCAAAAAAGAAACGAGGTGGCCACGAGGCAGGGAGACGCGCCTGCCCCCCTAGGCGCGCCCCCACCCTCGTGGGCCCCTCGCAGCTCCACCGACCTACTTCTACCTCCTATATATATATATATATCCATTGTAACGCCCCGAGACCGATGCTCGAGAAGACTTCCATATGTTCCGGGTTCCACCGTGTGTTTCTTTTATGCCTGCCCTTTTATTTTTTGCATTGCATCATGTCATCATCTCATAAATCTTTTACAACTCAAATAAATAAACCTTATGGATCTTCGGTCCATTTAAATTGAGGGAAATGCACATGGTGACTTCTCTTTAAAACATATTCTAAGTCTCATGCTATTATTAGGGAGCTATATGTAAATATTCCATTAACTTTGGGATCACCATAACACACTTGCAATTCAATTCCATGCCTCTTATGCTTCAAGTTGCACCTCCAAACTTTGCCCATTATTTCTTTCATCGCTTTTCCAGAGCTCCACCAAAAATCCGAACATTTTTGGACACCTCTAATTCCTAGTCCTTGTTCAAATAGTTGGAATTAAATTCAAATGACTTTGAATTAAATTCTTGC